GTGGGAGCCCCTCATGATGGGCACAGCAGGGGTACAGACCTGGGAACTCAGCACAGGGATGGTGGGAGCCCCTCATGATGGGCACAGCAGGGGTACAGACCTGGGAACTCAGCACAGGGATGGTGGGAGCCCCTCATGATGGGCACAGCAGGGGTACAGACCCGGGAACTCAGCACAGGGATGGTGGAAACCCGTCGTGATGGGCACAATAGGTGTACAGACCCGGGAACTCAGCAGAGGGATGGTGGGAACCCCTCATAATGGGCACAGCTTGTGTGTAGACTGACGAATCTTGTGCAGTGATGGTGGAAATCTTTCATAATGGGCACATTGGGGTTTCATCAAGGGTCTCTGTGAGAAGGATGAAACTAATAGGGAGTTTAACTCTCAAACATCCACAAAACACAGAGGATAAGCCTAGTTTAGGGAAGGAGGTGTCCAGGAAGAGTCACAATGAACTAATTCTGCCTTCATTATGAAATCAGAACCCCCCCCCCCAAATGGAGAAACAGACAATCCCTCCTAGATCAGCAATATATATTGCAAGGCTTTACGAAGATCTAAATCCAGATTCTTAGCTGCTTCTTTTCTGTAGTTCCTGAGATAGGTCATTTATTTGTACGCTTGCAGAAAGTATACAAAGTGAGTGTTAAATGGGAATTTGCTATGATCACATGACCAATCTTGGTGTACTAATAAGAAATTAGGACGTATCCAGGATTGCCATACAGTATAGTATAGTAAACATTCACAAACCAGGCAGTATTTATCTCGTTCACAGCACTCTCTGTCTCATCCAGGGTGACGGCCTGATTGTTGTTCAAGTCAAGGCTGAAGAAGATCTTTATGTGATGGGTGATGATCCGTGTAAGAAGGAGGAAATCCCTCCAGACATCAGCCCAGGTGAGGAATAAACACTAAATCCACAGAGTCCCGGATCCTCCTTGTTCATAAACATTTAATACAAAGTGCAGCCCTGACACTGGACTCAAAGAGCATTATGGGGTTTTTTTTTTCAGAAGCAGTTTGCTTTCTGACTTTCTCTTTCTAATTGAAAATCTATATGGGGCCATACAGAGCAAACAGATGGGTAGTGAAAAGCTGTGAATTTTCTTCTGTAAGCAATGCCATGAGGATTAGCCTGGTAGAGATGTGAAAAGTGTCACACTTGATGCTTCAGGGATCCAGTGCTAAGTCTCTGCTCATCACGCCCAATCAGGAGACAGCTTTCCTGATTGCCGTGGCATGAAATTGTGAAGCAAAACATGGCTCTGCGTTGACTATGCATAAATCAAGCCCAGTGTTGCCATCCTCTTACCTGCATCCTGATGCCCAGGGACTTCTTTCTCAGCAGCTTCGGTCTCCTTCATGCCTCCTGATTCCTGGGGCTTCTGTCATGCTTGCCTCAAGCCACTATTTAGTTCCTTTATGCTGCCTCAGCTGTCAGTGTTTGTAATGCCTCTGCCTCCAGTGCACCCCAGAGTATCCTGTGTCATCTAGTGACTCCTGTTGTGTCTCTGGTACCTCCATGATGCCAGTACCCTCTACTGCAGCCTTCGGTAAATGGTGGATCGAGGTCTGGATCTGGACAGCCTAGTCCGGACCATTAGCCCATCACTCTGCTGTGTTGAATCCTCACTAAACTGCAGTCATTAGTTGTTAGGATTGCCGGCATCATAGCAACCAATGATGTCACATGTGTGCCCCCACAGCACACTTCTCCTCAAGCTCCTGCCCCACCTGGCTCTGCTCTACTACTGGTCTGTAGTGATACTCTGATAGGGGAATCTAATGTATGGGGACACCTGATATAAGGGGGAACTCTGATGGGGATACCTAATGTAAGGGGGCACTGTGATTTTAGCAGCTGACATATGGGAGCACTATGATGGGGGAATGTGATATATGTGGGCACCCTGATGGGGACACCTGATGTAAGGGGTACTCTGATGGGGACACCTGATGTAAGGGGGTACTCTGATGGGGATACCTGATGTAAGAGGGCACTGGATTTTACATCTCTATATGGGGATACCTGATGTATGTGGGCACCCTGATGGGGACACTGTAAGGGGGTACTTTTGGACACCAGTAAAGGGGGACTCTGATGGGGATACCTATGTGGGGGCACTGTGATTTTAGCAGCTGACATATGGGAGCACTATGATGGGGGAATGTGATATATGTGGGCACCCTGATGGGGACACCTGATTTAAGGGGGTACTCTGATGGGGACACCTGATGTAAGGGGGTACTCTGATGGGGATACCTCATGTAAGGGGGCACTGTTATTTTGGCAGCTGATATATGGGAGCACTATGATGGGGGAATCTGATATATGTGGGCACCCTGATGAGGACATCTGATGTAAGGGGGTACTCTGATGGGGACACCTGATGTAAGGGGGTACTCTGATGGGGATACCTGATGTAAGGGGGTACTCTGATGGGAATACCTCATGTAAGGAAGGGGGCACTGTGATTTTGGCAGATGATATATGGGAGCACTATGATGGGGAAATCTGATATATGTGGGCACACTGATGGGGACACCTGATGTCCGGGGTTCTTTGATGGGGATACCTGATATAAGGGGGCACTGATATAAGGGGGCACTGTGATTTTAGCAGCTGATATATGGGAGCACTATGATGGGGGAATCTGATATATATAGGCACACTGATGCGTACACCTGATGTAAGGGAGTACTCTGATGAGGATACCTGATGTAAGGGGACACTGTGATTTTGGCAGATGATATATGGGAGCACTATAATGGAGGAATCTGATATATGTGGGCACACTGATGGGGACACCTGATATAACTGGGTACTCTGATGGAAATACCTGATGTAAGGGAGCACTGTGATTTTAGCAGCTGATATATGGGAGCACTATGATGGGGGAATCTGATATATGTGGGCACACTGATGGGGACACCTGATGTAAGGGGGCACTCTGATGGGGATACCTGACATGATGGCGCACTGATGAGGGAACCTCATATATGGTAACACCTAATGTATGGGGACACCTGATATAAGTTAGTACTCTGATGGGGACTCCTGACTTATGGGAGTACTCTGATGGGGACACCTGATATAGGAGGTACTCTGATGAGGACACCTGATATAGGGGGTACTCTGATGGGGACACCTGATATAGGGGGTACTCTGTTGGGGACACCTGATATAGGGGGTACTCTGATGGGGACTCCTGACTTATGGGAGTACTCTGTTGGGGACACCTGATATAGGGGGTACTCTGATGGGGACTCCTGACTTATGGGAGTACTCTGATGGGGACACCTGATAGGGGGGGTACTCTGGGGGGTACTCTGATGGGGACACCTGATATAGGGGGTACTCTGATGGGAGCAGCTGAACTAAGAGGTACTCTGATGGAGACACATTATGTAAGCTGGATCTTTTTTCTTTTATGTGAAAAGAAAGATTCAGACTTCGGCTAGAATAACATTTTAGAGATCAGACCTCATTGAATTTTATTTCATTACCCCGCTCCCCTCAAGCATGCTTCTGCAGTCACCTGGACTGTTCTTTTCTCAGTGGACTAGGACCTTTCTATGTAACAAAAAGGGCCTACAGCCCCTCCTGCTGGCTGAAAATAGTAAATATGGACTAACCTTGTGCAATATTTCACTAAGTACTTTACATTCTCTTTGTGGCTATTCTGGTAATACAGAGTTTGGATGGTAGGGCATACCATAAGGTACCCTAAAAGAGTCAGCCAGAAGGTAGGCTATGTCCCCCAAGTCAGTGTTAAATCCAACTCTGGACATTTTTTAGTATTGATGAAAGGTCAGAACATCTGTCAGGTTTTTAACATTTCTGTGTGTCCCCCACTAGGGAGACTTTTAGTCATTTTCTATCCTGGTGACTGGGTATCCTAGGAAAGGTAAGCAATGAGAAACTTCTCCATTGTGGACATGGACAGCAACAAAAGCACCAAGATTATGTCATCAGTGTGCTTCAGGCAGGAGGAGGCATTTCTTCCGTCTTCCTTCCCACGGTGATCACTCAGACTGTACATTGTATGTCTGTAGCAAGTCACATCTTATGAAGCTGCAGCAGGGGGCTGATCTGTGTTAGGCATTTGTGAACACAGCCAAAGAACTACAGAACCCAGTATATGCATATTTGTGTCATTTCTGAGACAGCACTTCTGTCCAGAAAGTAGATGGTGACCCTGAAAAAAAAAAAAGCAGATGTCAGGGGTAGAAGTCATTGACAGGTAATAAATACCTGGAAGGGTTACAGTGACACACCACTTGGCATATATGTACCTAATATGGGGATGTATATCTAAAGATAGGTCAACTAGAGGTGTTCATAATGACTTTACCTGTCTTTGGTTTCAGAGGGAAATTTCACAAAAATGTTTACAATTACATGTGATTCCTACAGATGGATCCAGTAATGGGAAAACCCACCAGAGAGATGTCCCCGTCCTCTGGATTCCTGGAACTCCACACAGGAACATCAGGAGATCCCTCAGGAAGATCGGGTAGGTGGGACTAAAGGTAATTTAAAATGTATGTAAACCCCAACAATGAACCTCTCACTCATCTTTGCCCTGGGCTCTAGATGACCTTGTCCCAGTACTGCAGGGACTACACAACGATTAGCCTTTTTGTTAGTGGACTGCAAGTGGATGTGATTGAGTGGCAGCAAAAGACAGTGGGCAGGGCTGACACCGCTAAGTCTACAAAAATTCTGTGTGTTGCCAGCCTACAACAGAAAGTCAGAAGATGAGTGACCTGATGTACACTTTAAAGAGAAACTCCCCCCGTGCTCCTCCCTTGCCTTTTTTGATGGGTTATCTACAAAAAAAATACTTGTGTGTCCAGTGATCCAGCTGTGCTCATCAGGGATCCACCGCACCGCTGCAGCACCGCCATGTTCTGTAAGGTCATAAGGTAGCCAACTGTCTTTTCTGGGCTGTTGCAGCTGGCCCCCGATGAGGCACATACCCTGTGGCTTGTCATCGGAATTTGGCTGCAAAAACAGGAAGAGTCAGATGATGTGGTGCATGTGTAGTAGGACAAGGGTTCTCAACCACCGGGACAGATTCCCTAACCTCATACAGTGTCTCTTAGCTCCCATAGTGGCACCCAACCTCACATACAGGACACAGTGCCCTCAACCTCTCATAATACCTCCAGGCCACGCAAGAACCCTTTGTCCCCACAATGCCTGCCAACCTTCCACAGTGCCTCTTAGCTTGCTGTAGAGCTCCCAGCCATGTATAGTACCCCCAACAACCCCACAGTGCCCCACAGTGAGCTCCAATCTCCCACATTGTCCCTGCAAAACTCCTAGCCTCCTTGGGAGACCCCTAGCCCTCTCCAGAGACCCCATCCTACACAGCTGCTCCCTCGAGAAATCGCATTCCTACAGAGCCCCAAGTCTGCTGCACAGTCCCCTAACCCCCATTCACCCTCCTCCCCTACGATGACATCTAACCCCATTCAGAACCTTAATCCCCCCCACAGTGACTCCTATCCCTATCCAGAACCTTCATCCCCCCAAAGAGACTCCTATCCCCATCCAGAATCTTCACCCCCTCCCCAAAGTGACACCTAGCCCCATCCAGAACCTTCATCCCCCAACAATGACACCTAGCCCCATCCAGAACCTTGATTCCCCCCCACAATGACACCTAGCCCCACCCAGAACCTACATCCCTCACAATAAAACCTAGCCCTACCCAGAACCTACATCCCCCACAATGAAACCTAGCTCCATCCAAAACCTTCATTCCCCCACAATGACACCTAGCCCCATCCAGAACCTTCATCCCCCCACAATGACACCTAGCCCCATCCAGAACCTTCATCCTCCTACAATGACACCTAGCCCCATCCAGAACCTTCATCCTCCTACAATGACACCTAGCCCCATCCAGAATCTTCATCCCCCACAATGACACCTAGCCCCATCCAGAACCTTCATCCCCCCACAATGACACCTAGCCCCATCCAGAACCTTCATCCTCCTACAATGACACCTAGCCCCATCCAGAATCTTCATCCCCCACAATGACACCTAGCCCCATCCAGAATCTTCATCCCCCACAATGACTCCTAGCCCCATCCAGAACCTTAATCCCCCCCCACAATGACTCCTATATCCATCCAGAATCTTCACCCTTTTGTCAGGGCAGGGCTGTGGAACGGACAGGTAGGCCTAGTGGCAGGGTGACAAACGCACTGGCTGACGACAACCACCACCAACAGACCGAAGTCCCTCAGGGCGCAGAGTCTAAGTCCCAGGCTGCCCTTCACCAGGGCCCCTGATGGTGGGGATGGACTTGACGCAGCCAGGAACCAGGTCGCGGCCCCCGAGACATCCCGGCTGCGGTAATGGCCGCCGCCAATGGCGTGTAGCTGGTGAGAATGACAATAGCGTAGTCAGGAAAGCCGGGTCGACAACAACGGGACAAAACAGTACAGAACAGTAGACAGAGAATCACAGGTCACGGGCCGGGTTCAGCAACGGAAGGTCAGATCGAAGGAAAACACAGAGAATGGTCTTAGTCACAAGCCGAGTCAGAAACCAGAAGAGTCACGAGCGTATACACAGAGCTGTAGCAAGACAAAGACACAAGACACAAGTGCAAAGAGCATGTGCGGATCACAGGCTTATATGTACTCAACCTTCATTCCCCCACAAAGATACCTAGCCCCATCCAGAACCTTTGTTCCCCCACAATGACACCTAGCCCCATCCAAAACCTTCATCCCCCACAATGACACCTAGCCCCATCCAGAACCTTCATCCCCCACAATGACACCTAGCCCCATCCAGAACCTTGATTCCCCCCCACAATGACACCTATCCCCATCCAGAAACCAATTTGTCCCCCACAATGACACCTAGCCCCATCCAAAACCTTCATCCCCCACAATGACACCTAGCCCCATCCAGAACCTTCATCCCCCACAATGACACCTAGCCCCATCCAGAACCTGCATCCCCCACTTTGACACCTAGCCCCATCCAGAACCTTCATCTCCCCCACAATAACATTGACACCCAGATCCTTCCAGAATTACAGTATATATTTTGTATTCCCATACTTTCATTTTGCGAGGGGGAGAGGAGTGGAATGATAGAAATTGGGTTGGGAGGGTGGAGACTGCTATAAATTCCCTAGAATGGCGCAATTTGACTTTAAGAGAATTGCACAACATTCCCAGATCTAAAAAAGCAAATTTTGTCATAATATACTTGGTGGATTGTATTTTGTGATTTCCAGGGTGAAAATCTGGTTACTGTTAAAGTTGAAGTTAAAGAAGATGAAGAAGATCCATATGTGAGGGGTGATGATCCATGGAAGGAGAAGGAGATCCCTCCAGAGATCAGCACAGGTGAGGAATAAACACTAAATCCAGAGAAGAGTCCCAGATCCTCCTTGATGATAAAGGTGCAGCCCTGACCCTGGACTCGAAGAGCACTCTGGGTTTTTCAGAGGAGGTTTGCATTCTAACCTTCTCTCTCTAATTGAAAATCTCTACAGACCTATACAGATCAGAGATCTAGATAGGGGGAAGCTGTGAATGTACATCGATTACTAACCCAGTAGACAGTAATGCGGAGACCGTATGTGCCCAGTGAAGGAGTCAGGATCCATCAGACCATATTTGATTTGGTGGTGAAAAAAATGTAATTTTTAAGATATTGAATATTTGATTGTCCCCTTTGTTTCTCAGCTTCTCCAGATGGACAAGACAGCAGGAGAAACACGGAGGAACGTTCTTCAGACGGCGAGGTAGAGGATGATTACATTGGGGCAGATTTTCCAGAGGGGGACCCAGTTACAGAAAATGTACAACTGGTACGTAGTCAATAGATCTCCTGCTTGCTATACAAATTACCTCAAGGTTGGACTGAACTTGGAGGCAAGCAGATGGCAACAGACTAGTCACGAGTAATGCCTGTAGTCTTCCTGCAGCTGATTTTTTCCCTCAATACCATGCCTTGCAGTGCACTGTGTGGAGGTGGCCATCGTGGCAGGGCTTTGCTTCCTCAAATCGGAACCTCCAGCAAGGAGAACAGTGAGCAGCACAGTAGTGGTGTCACCAAATCTCACTCCAAATATCTAGAGGCAGCAGTGCCTTAGACATTGCAGATATACAGCTGAAAGGCTGTAGGTACAGGAGTGCCTAGGCACCCTCAAGTCAATTTTACAGGTTACTGCTTAGGCAAAATTACCAATTCTAAGACTTAGTTTACATTGGTGGTTGAGGGGTGATAAAAAGCAGATGGCGGCAGTATCACTTTCTGAATGCCTGTCCATCTCACCTGCTCTGCTGTCTGGAAAGCCGCAAATATGCGGCCTCTCAGCGGCTGGGCCTTGGTACCGAGGGGCCGCATAGTTGCTTAACCAATGTAAACAAAATGTGCCAAGAGCATGCACCTTGCGCTCTCCCAGCACGTTTGCGGGTCCTCATGGAAAGGTCCCAAACGCTGCTTGTGGTCGGGAGCTTTCCAACAGCCAATCACAGCAGTCACATCACTCTAAACTCTGCCAACTTCTTGGAGTCATAAACCCCTTAAAGGGCTGGCGCCAAGGGGTTAAGAGGTGTTTTCATAAAAAAGAGCTGTTCATCTTGTGAAACCTCATGCACATTTGTTCTGAGTGAATATCGAATGCTACGAGACTGTTTTCTCTCCAGATCCAATATTATTCATTCATAAAGAAAGAGTGAATGAGGAAGATACCACATTATGGCCACTAGATGGAGCTGATAATTATAGGAACTCAATAATTATTTACTATGATCGTCAGCTCCAACTAGTGGCCAAAATGTGGCATTTTCCTGATTCTCTCTATTTTGTATGAACGAATAACGTTTGATCTGGAAAGAAAATATACTAGTAATATTCAATTCATTTGTACTGAATGAATGCACATGCAGTTTCACAAGATGAATAGCTCTGCACATTTTTCTTATATTGTATATACCCTGAGGTGTTTTTTCAGGCCAATTTTTTGAGGAATGATTAGAACCCTCAACAGGGTTTTATTGCTGACTGTTTATTTCATTTTAGAAGTCCAAAGGTAACAATCCAATATGTTTCAGGGGTTTTAACTTTCCTCATTCATCAGGGTGGTTCCTTCAGTCCAATTCTCGAAATATGTGTTTTAACAGCTTGGTTAGTTACCATTGAAGAGGAAAATCATGGGCTTTAGCCTTCTCCTATGCTACAGAGGCCATAGTTGTGGCTGTGGGGGATTTCCTCTTACTTCCTATTCAGGTGACAGTGTTTTCACTGGGATAGGAAGTGAGAAAAAAATCTCCCCAAAAGGAGCCACCGATACAAGAAAAAGTCTGAGGGGTGTTCTTGGTCTTCCTTGCTCTGAGATGGCTGGAGGTATACCTTGATTTGGATTTGTCTAATCTAGGATAAAAAGTTTCTTTCAGTTTCCACTGCAGTGGAAAAAGTCTTACCAAGAAAATATTTGTTTCTCGCCAGGGAAAGCGGAGGATCAGGAAGCCGGTTTTGTGCCCCGATTGTGGAAAATGGTTTACCCAAAAGTCAAGCCTCGTCCAACACCAGCGGATGCATTCGGGGGAGAAGCCCTTTGCCTGTCCGGAATGCGGAAGGTGTTTCACTTTGAAGTCGTCGCTAGTCAAGCATCAAGTGGTCCACACCGGGGAGAAGCCGTATCCGTGCCTTGAATGTGGCAAGAGCTTCACCCAGAAATCCACGCTGCTCCAGCACCAGAGGATGCACCGTGGGGAGAAGCCATATGCCTGTTCAGACTGTGGCAAACACTTCCGCCAGAAACTGTCGCTGATGAAACACCAGCACATGTTCATGCGGGAGAAACCATACTCCTGTGTGGAGTGCGGCAAGTGCTTTGTGGCCAAGTCAACCCTCGTCACTCACCAGAGGACTCACACAGGAGAGAAGCCTTTTTCTTGCTCCGAATGCGGGAAATCATTCACACAGAAAGCCCTGCTCATTAAACACGAAAGGACTCACAC